TGCTGGATCTCGCCATCAGTGATGTCGGAAAGGTTCGAAGAAGAAGCAGCGTGAGTACGGGGGGGCTGACTACGGGTACGTGAAGATGCTCGAGTTGTTCTTTGACTAGTAGACGCAAGAGGGGGTGTCATAGAAGTTAGTGAAAGACGCACTGATACTCGTGATGTACCGTTACACTACATCAAGCGAGATCAAATGACTAATACCAATAATGCAGACAACTGTGTGCGCTCCAACCTAATCGATTCTATCATAGCTGCTGGAAAAGCGCACAAACAGAGTATGCAGAGATACTGCTTCTCATGTACCATCAGTAGTGCTAGAAGCACCGACAACAAGATTGTGGAATAAGGAAACACAGAGTAAGAAGAATAATAGCTCACTTCGCAATATATTTCCGTTAGCCTCGACCAACATTGGGCTCACGCATTGTGCGTTAATGTGCAAGGGTGCAAGCTGAGTATCATCTCAGCATTATGGTCCAGTGATGGGGACCCCTTATTATTGTGCTGAAATGCACATAAGGTGCAGAATCTACCTCTGCACGGGGTGGCTGGCGTCATAGTGGTTATAGCGATACCAAAAAATACAACTAACAACTTTGAAACACTTCTCAATACAAATACTGAGACACAATGTCATTGAAACACCCTACATTTAGGATCTCTCGTGCTGCGCATCACAAACCTGCTAGTTTTTAAGTCGACGCTATCCCTTCCCGAACGTAACTCGAAGTCGACCCCTTCGAATATGAAAGCGAGACATAGCTCATTTTGTTCCCCGGAAGGTATAATGAGTTTTTTTGAAATCAATTAAAGTCAGAGTCACGCCCCTGTGCGGACGCGGCGCTTCTTGTGCGGAAGAGCTAAATGCGCACACGTACAGTGGGCCTGTTTCATAGGAGCAAATTGCGCCTTAAACTTAAGTAACGCCTTTAGTATACCTTAAGTGATTAGGACATCCTATTTCACTACTTAAGTAAGCACGTTAAGGCGCCTTAAGTTTCTGTGCAGACACTTAAGTATTTACGAGAAGCATTTCACAACATGCGTACTTAAGGAGCAACTTAAGTATTCCTTAAATTTTATTAAGGTAGAGCCGACCCTACCTAAATAGATACTTAAGTACCGTTTTCGAATATTGCAGCCCACAGGGGTTGAACCAGGGACCCTTCGAAGTACGATGCTTAGATATTGCATCTCGCAGGGGTCGGACCGGAGACCTTACGAATGGCAGCACGGTGCTCTCCCACCAGAGAGGCAAAGAAATCCAACCAAGATTTCATTTCCTTCACGCAGCAAAAGCCGAACCGAACTTCACAATATGGTCTGGTCACCTTTAAGAATCAGCCACTGCAAAACGTCGAGGAGGCAATGTTTGCTGCTTGTGAACAGGAGATGAGGATCTGGGTCAATCACAGTCATCTCGAATAACTCTGATTGACCCAGATGCTCCAGTGGATGGTGTCGGGAACGCTCTCCGCAAGAGCTACGTTCGCAGATAGTTGCAGCGACTTCGTGATATTTCAGTGATTTGCGTCGCCGTTGAGTTCACATGAGTATATTTTCTACTTAGCGGACCGTTGAGTGACTTATTCTAGCTAACATTGTGATTCGTGGGAAATCCCCTTGCAGCTCGTTACCAATGGTAACTTATACCTTACCCATGATCGAGGAAAGTAGTTGCGAAACAGTAAACGACCATAGAAACAGCATACCTCAGATTTGTACCTGCGCCGATCGTATGGTAAACGAACAACCTAACCATCGTAGCATTTACACCACAAAACTAGACGTGTGATTCTATTCTATACCTGTAAGCATGGTTAAGTAGATCCTTAAGTACGCCTTAAGTTAAGGAGCTCCTTAAGTTGCTCCTAAACGTTGTGAAATGAGTTGAGTACTTCTTAAGTATACCTTAAGTAACTCCTTAAGTTGCTCCTATATTTAAGGCGCCTTAAATTAAGTATCCTTGTGAAACAGACCCAGTGAGTTAGATAAAAGAGAGGATTCGCCAGAATCTTGTGACTTTGTTGTTCGTGGGAAGTTAGCTTCACTTACCTTCTTCTTCTTCTTCTTCTTCTTCTTCTCAATCTTGGACGCGGCACGGCCATTCTCTGGCCATTTGCCGCCAACATGATTCCTTCTGTAGCCGCCCTTCTGCGGCTCGTTAGTCTCCGCTCCGTTGAGTTCCATTTCGTCCCGTATTTCTCCCATACGGTCATTCAAGATGACTCATCCTCGGCGTTGGGCAGGCGGCATTAGTCTCTGAAGACCCTTCCAGTCCTTCGCAGAAACCCTTCGAGTACCAGCGCCAGATCCCGGCTTCTGATGACAGTCTCCCCCTGGGGAGGCCACGTTAGCCCTCGCAGGTTCACTTCTCGAATTAATGCCTCCCGTTGGCTCTTCCATCGCTCGCACTCGTACAAAAAATGTCTCACATCCTCCGTGACTTGAGCGTCGCAGTACGGACATTCATCACTTCCCCCATCAACTCGGCTTCGGCAGTATCGCAGCCGGCTCTGTCCTGAAATAAGTCCCCAGAGATTTCGGCAGCCTTGCAGCCCCCTAAGCATCTTCAGAGCTGATGCGGTGGGCACAAACTCCCTGATAGATCTTCCTAGTTTCCTGACCTCGCTTTCATATAGCATGTCAGACTGCTGCTCAACGCATTTCCTCACCCTCTCTGAGACCACCTCCCGATCTATGGGTACGATGAACGGCGGATCATCCCCGTGTAGCGAGAGCAGTTTTGCTAGCTGGTCCGCTCGGCGGTTCCCTTCGCAGGACTTTGACCTAACGTACTGCAACTCCACATTCAGTCGCAGGTCCAGTGCGCGCTGCCGGATGTACTGCACTACAATTCCACGACAGAGCCTCCGCTTGGCAAGTCCAGCTAGAAGGTCAATTGCCCGTTGGCAGTCCGTGCCGACACATATCTCCCCGAGTCGCATCTCCCCCCCGGCTTCTACTGCACGGAGGACTCCGAAGAGCTCAGCCTGTAGTGGAGTTGCATATGAAGGCAATTTCCAGCCCCACATATTCCACTCACCGTACTGCGTCTTCAATACCGCCGCGCATCCGGCAGTTTGATTCCGCGATGCTGCCCCGTCAGTATAGAATACCCACTTTCTGCAAGGGCTCTTTCTACGGCTACTGATGGTGAGAGGTCTTAGCTCTCTCGCCGCCGAAACTGGGGAATCGACTGGAGCTCCCATAGCTATGCGTTGGAGCTCGTCCTGCAAGGAGGGTACCGCGGGAAAGCCTGTCACGGACAGCCGACGTTTTATACATTGGGATACGCATAGGAGATCCCAGGGTATTCCGTCCGTTCCTGTATGTGACACAAATGCGGTAGGGGTACGCGCGCTCAGTCTCCGAGCCCTCCGGTAGAACCGAGCCTGTAGCGCCCTCAGCTGCTTGGCAATCCTGGCGCGAAGGGCCGCATGTCCCCAGCAGCCAACCGCGTACAGCAGGCAGCCACGAGCCACTGCCTCAAAAAGCACCAGCGCGACGTCGGGGCCCAATCCCCATGAGCTTCGGACATGCGCTTTCACAGAGTGGTATATCCCCTCCAGCCGAGCGAGAATGTTTGCCGCATGAGCACCCCACCTAAATTTCCGATCTAGTGCCACTCCAATCCATCGTACTGACGACTCCACGATCACT